GCCAACGGGTGCGCGCCACCCACTCCCCCACCCCCACCCCCACCCCCCGCCTCCCCGCCAGGTGCTGCACGCCAGCCTGTCCAGCCTGGGCCTAGCCAAGACGCTGCCCTACCTGGTCATGTTTGCCGCCAGCAACGCGGGCGGGTGGGCGGGGGACTGGGTCATCAACGTGCGGCGGCGCAGCGTGGCGGCGGGGCGCAAGCTGGTCAACACCGCAGGCTTCTGGAGCGCGGCGGCGGCGCTGATGCTGATGCCGGGTGCGCGCGCGCATGTGTGTGTGTGTGGTGGCCTGTGCGTGTGTGATGCGTGCGTGCCGATGCAGGTGGGTGGGGGTGAGCGAGGCGGGGAGAGGTGGGTAGCGCGCACCCCTTGCCATCTCCCTCCATGCGCACACCCCGCCCTGCCTGCGGCACACTGCGCTGCCCCTGCCTCCTCTGGGCCGTGCCCAGCCGCCACGCCCACTGCCGCTACGCCCACCCCTCCCTGCCCCCTCCTGCCCCGCCCGCAGGCGCTCGCTCCGTGGCCTCGGGCGTGGCCTTCACCACGCTGGCGCTGGGCTGCTGCGGCTTCTCGCGGGGCGGCTTCAGCGTGAACCATATGGACATAGCGCCTCGCTACGCGGGGGTCGTCATGTGAGAGAGATGAGAGGGGAGTGTTGTGTGGGTGGGGGAGTGGGCGGTGTGGGTGGGCATCCCCGGGTGCAGTCTGGCGAGCAGGGGCGGCAGCGGGGCGCGGTCCTGCGCTGCCCACTGCACCTCCCTTGGCGGGGCATTGGCGGTGCATGCGCCTGATGGCGTGCCGCCGCCGCCGCGCCCCCGCCCGCCTGCAGGGGCATCAGCAACACGGCGGGCACGCTGTCGGGCGTGGTGGGCGTGGCCACCACCGGCTACCTGCTGCAGTGGGCGGGCGGGGCGGACCGCCCCGCGGGCTGGTACCAGGCGTTTGCGGTGGCGGCGGTGCAGTGCGTGGCGGGCAGCCTCGTCTTCCTGGCGGCGGCCCGGGGCGACCGGCTGTTTGGCGGCGATGCCGCAGACTTCCAATAGAGGCGCACTTGCCCAGCGCCCCAACGGTACCGTTGATGAACTTGCCGTGACTGCTTGATGATTTCTCAAGTCACTGTTCGCACTGCATTTCCGTCCATGCCTTATTGCTCCCCTATGTGACCCACTGGCCCTATTCTTGCTTTACAGCCTGTAACGCTACACAATGTTGCAGCAGGAGCTGAGTGGGCCAGAGGGCCAGTAGTTCCAACCCAGTATCAACCCAACAAAACAAGCAGGAACACTTCCAGTTGAGTGTCATCTCTGTTCATTGGCATGCACACCAGGCCTTATAAATGCTGGCTGCTCGTGGCACTGCCGGGCGTCAGTCAGTCAGTCGGCCACTCAGTCACTACGTCGGTCGGTGAAGGCGGTGAAGGCGGTGAAGGCGGCTACCCACAGGAGGTGAGCCTGGTAGGGCTAGCGATCATAGGGGTCTGGCAGCGGGCTCAGCCAGTTGTCCTCGTCCTTGACCTGCTGCTGCAGCATGACCAGCTGCCCCTGCAGCTGCATCACCTCGGTGTCCCGCTCCTCCAGCTCACCACGCACGCGGTCCCGCTCACCCTTGAGCCGCTCAATCTGAGGGGAGGGCACATGGGGAGGGAGGGAGGACAGCAATCAGGGCAGTGTCAGGCACAGGCGCAAGAGGGAGCCAGGTGCAATGGACAGGCAGCGACAGCTGCGGAAACAGCACGCGCGGCACTTGCTAGCCCCCTGCGCGCACCTCCTGCCGCGCCGCCTGCAGCTCCCTTGTGGCGGCATCCAGCCGGCCCGGCGCCGCCCGGCTGGCTCCGTGGCGCGCCGGCGACGCGCCGCCGCTCATCCCGCTGCTGCTGCTGCTCCTGGGTGACATGTCTCCGCCGTCCTCCTGGCTGTTGGCATGGGAAGCAGGCGCCGCCGCCTGCTTCCTCAGCTGCTGCACCTCGCGCCGCGCCTGCGCCTCGGCATGCTGTGCGGCGGCCAGCTGCTGCCGCAGGCTAAACGCATCGGAGCTGTCCCGCTGGAGATCATCCAGCTCCACAGCCTGCGCTCAGCAGGAACAGGACCCTGGATCGCGCCTAGGTCTGCTACACGGCGTGGCTCATGCGCCCAACTTGCCGGCCGCCCGCAAAGCGCAGCGTAAGTGACGGCGTGCCAGGCGCGCAGGGAGGAGGCGAGGCAACTTGCCTGGTCCAGCACTTGCTTCTGCAGCTCCTGCGCTTTGCCGCGCTCCCGGCTCAGGTCCTCGTGCATCTGGAGGTTGGGGAGGGGTGTTGTGTGCGTGTGTTGGTGGGGTGGCAGGCTTCCTTCAGCGCCGGTCAGCCCTCAGGCTGTGGGTGTGAGCGCACGAGGCAGCCACAATGCATACATGGTCCAGCCCGCCGCCACAAGACCCTGCGCAAGGTCCTGCATGCCTGCATGAGCTGCAGGTCCTTCTCTTGGAGCTCCATGCGCAGCCCGGTGACCACGTCGCGCAGGGGAGAGGCGCCGCTGCCGTTCCTGCGAACACGCGCAGGACAGCCACGCCTCGGCTATTGCGAGCAGGCACGGCCTGGCCCAGCTGCAGCTGAGCGAGCCCGGCTGGAATCAAACACAATGCAGGGAGGTCAGCGGGCACCTGCCGCCAGCGGGCCGCGTGCCGGGCCACCCAACCCTCCACGCACCTGCCAGCCTTGGCCAAGCGGTCCTCTGCTGCTGCTGCCGCCTGCCGCGCCTCCTGCAGCTGGCACTCCAGCTGCGCCAGCCGCGACTCCAGCGCCTCGCGCTGCACCTGGGCAGACAGAGCCTGCAGACGGGGAGTAGGCCGAGGGTGGTCCCAAATGAGGGTCGCCTGCCTACCTTCGTGCAACGTGCTGACCATCTGATGTGCATCATCAGCAGCATGTTTCCTTGCGCAGCTTGCCTGCTGTGCCTGCTGGGCGGCAGCCGCCTCCTGGAGCTCCAGATCCGCCCGCGCATCACGCACCGCCTGCTGCAGCGCGGCCACCTGCTGGCGGTGCTGCCCGCTGGCCTGCAGCTGGGCCTCGAAGTCGGCGGTGGCCTGCACAACACACAGCGCAAGCAGCAGCAGGTGCTCAGAAAATGCTGGCTCTGTGTGCGCCTGATCACTGTGTGCAAGCAACTGAGAGGCAGATGCTTGCTCTCACACTCGGTACATGTCAGAGCAGTGCGTGAGGTGCGTGCTGCCTCACCTTTGCGAGGTGCTGGCGCAGCTGGTCGCGCTCCTGCTCCATCTCCGCCAGGCGGCCCTGCATGCTGGTGAGCTGGTGCTGCAGAAAACCAACGGGCGCAAAGTCGGGCTGAGCATCGGTGGGACGAGGTCCAGCACCAGTCACAACAGTCATGCTGGGAGGCGCCATTGATTGCAGCAGGACGTCGGTACACACCTCATACGAGGCCTGGCTGGTGGTGTGCGCCTGCCGCAGCTCCTCATTCTCGTCCTGCAGCTGCCGGCACTGCCGCTGCGCGCCCGCAAGCTGGTCCTGCATCAGGAGTAACGCAGCAGCGGGGCCGCCCAGGGCAGTGGATGCATGCACGGGTGAGCTGGAATCAGGGCTCACCATTTCAATGACGATCAATGAGCACACATGGCCTGGCCTTGCTTGCTGCGCCCCACCTGCAGCCGCTTCATCTGTGTGTGCGTCGCTTTGACGTGGCTCCCCAGGCCATGCTGCGCCGCCTCTGCCGTCTCTGCACGTGCAGCAATGCTGCTGCTGCGCTCCTGCTCCCCAGCCAGCGCCGCCTCCAACCCTTCGCAGTGCTGCTGCTGCTCCTGCAGTTGCCTGCGCAGCTGCCGCACCGCATCGCCAGCAGCCTCGGCCTGCTGCCGTGCGGCAAGCAGCTGCTGGTCCTGGCCTTCTGAGTCGGCGGCAACGGCGTCCATGTCCGCCGCCAACTGGCGCCAGCGCTGCTCTGCCACAGCGCACCGCTCCTCGGCTGCCTGCTGCCTGGCAGCCGCCTGCCGGGCAGCTTGCTCCTGGGCCACCTTCTCAATTGCCAGCATCTGGCAGCGCGATGCCAGCTCGCGCTGCTCCTCCTGCGCCTGCTGCCGCACCTCCTGCAGGCGCTGCTCCCACTCCTCCTCCGCCCGCCGCAGCCGCTCCGCCACCTGGCTCTCGCTGCTGCCGGCGGTGGCGAGCATGTCCTGCAGCTGATGCTGCAGCCTCGTCACATGTGCATTCTCCTGCGCCAGGTGACAACAGTCCCACACCCCAACATTGAGACATTGAGAGGACACCCGGCGAGAACAAACATGCTCCGTTTCTTCAATGAACACTCTGCCCTGGCAGCGTGCTCCTGAGGCGCCAGCCAAGCCAGGCTGTGGCAGGCAGCCCCACCTGGTCCCACGCCTCGCTGAGCTGTGCCACCCGCTGCCGCAGCTCTTCATTCTCCTGCCGCTGCACCTGCCCAACAGCCTGCACAGCCAGCCCACAACCACGGCATGGTTGCGGTGCATCCATCCAGATGATCGATACGATGCAGTACACACATGCAGGTTTAGCAAGGACCACTGGGACCTGCGCTGCTGGTCCCTGGTGCTGGCTGGCCCACCTGCATGCGCGCAATGCTGTCGATGCTGTCGCTGTGCACCGACTGTCGCCGCTGCACATCGCCTCGCAGGGCGGCCGCCTGCAGCATCGGGCCCGATGAGGAGGCAGACATCAGGTAGGCTGGCATGCAAGCAGCGCCTGTGTGGCAGAGCGGCGCACGCATTGCATGTATCGTCATGCAGCTCGGATGCTGGGCTGCACACAGGTGCACCCACCTCCTGCATAGCCTCTGTCGCCCGTGCCTCTGCCTCTGCTGCACGCAGGTGCGCGGCCTCCACAGCTCCCGCCTGCTGCGCCGCTCGCTGCTGCAGCTGGTCACACTGCTCCTGGAGGCCCTCGGCGGCTGCCGCCGCCTCCTGCGACTTCATGCGCTCCAGCTGCAGCTGAAGAGCGCATGGGGAGGTGGCAAGACGGGTCGGCAGTGTAGTGGACAGCGGGCGGACGCAGCTGTTGCTACCAGCCTGCCAGCCCACGCCTGGAAGAAGAAAACCCACCTGTGCCTCCAGCTCATTGATGCGGCTGAGCAGCACAATGGTGCCCCTGGGGCTGTCACCTGCCGCCTGCTCTGCTGCCAGCCGCTTGCCGGCAGGTGACGAGGCGGCAGAGCTGGGCCTCCAGTCGGCTGCCTGCTCTTGCTGCTGCAACTGCGATGGATGATGGGGGCTCCACTGGTTGCTGGAAACTGCCGGTGCCGCTGCCTGGTCTGCGCTTCCAGGGCGGGCCGCTGTTCCCCCCGTCGCAAGGCCCTGCTGCCTGCCGCGGAGCGCTGGCATGGCATCAAACAAAGGTGTCAGCCGCAGGCTGATGGTCATTGGATCGCTGTCTTCCCGCACCTCCTCCACCGCTGCCACTGCTGCACGCGCTGGGCTGCCGCCACCGCTGCTGGCCGCCTCGGTGCCTGGCGCTGCAGGGCGAGCAGCTTGCGCCACGGCTGGCGCCGCGCTGCTGCCGGGGTAGGCGCGGATTCGGAAGTCCTGCTGCATTTGCAGCTGGCTGCTGGGGCGAGCCAGCAGCGTGGCGGCCGCGCTGCTGGCCACTGCTGTGCTGTTCTGGGCGGCGGTGCGGGAGCAGTCCAGCTGCAGCTGGCGCAGCTGCTCCTGCAGGGTGGCGCGCCTGGGCGATGTGCCATCCGCCAGGGCCCCCGAACCAGCCAGCTTGGCTGCCGCAGGGGAGGGCCGGTAAAAGGGGGACCCTGCTGCCGCCGCCGATGCAGCAATGGCTTTGGCCTGGGCCGCTGGCGCTTGCTGGGCCAGCATGTGTTGCTCCAGCAGGCTGGGCTTCTTGAGAGGGCTGCCGATCCCAGCGCCAGCTGCGGCGCTTGCCGGTCTGCGGCTGCCGCCCGCCGCTGCCGTGCCATGGAAGCTGCTGCCGCCTGCGCCCCGGAATGGGGAGGGGTCGCGAGGCGTGAACCTCGTTGTGACAACCCCAGCGTGGCTAGACAGAACTGCAGCAGGAGCGGCTCCTGCTGCAGCTGCAGGCCGCCCAGAAGTCGCTGTCAGCGGGCTGCTGCGGAAGCTGTACCCGGCCTCCGCCTCCAGCCGCCGCTCGTAGCCTCCCAGGATGGAGGGGTTGGGCTGGGGCGTCAGCCGGCCGCCCGCGTGTCGGCTGGCGGGCGTGACCAGCAGCGAGGTGTGCTGCTGCCGCGCCGAGCTGTCGGGCGTGCCTATGGGCCACGTCCCGCGGGGTGCCGTGGCGCCTGGGACCGATGCCTTGCTCCTCTCCAGCTCGGCCTGGATGCTGCGCAAAAAGTCGGTGCCCGACATGGGCGCCCGTCACTGCCGCCGCCGTCACGGGGGAGTGCCGGCTGGACCCCAATTCGAATGCCTCGCTTCCTGCCGGTGCCTCAAGATGCTAGTGTGCACGCGCAGCGCTCCTGCGCTGCTGGTCACTCCGCCTGAGTTGAAGTGCAGGCAGCTGCAGCCAGCCGACTCTCCCTCCTCGCATCAATCACCACCACTCCTTCGTCCAACCGAGCTGGGGTTGGGGAGGCGAGGCGGCTGTTTTGACCGCGTCTGTCACTTTGCCGCCGTGGCGCAGTGCATTATGTACTGCGCCTGGGCGCTAGCAGCCGCCCGGCCACCCTGCGATCGCTGTGCCGTCGTCTTGCACTCTCGCAGGCGAAGCTTGGCCTCCAGCCAGGCCCTGATCGCCGGGCGCTGCCCCTCCCTGTCCGCCCTTCTCGCTTGGCGCTGTCAGCAGCGAGATGGCGGACAACTTCCTGACAGTGGTGCCCGTGGAGCTCAAGTTCAGGCAAGTCTACCGGCCGCCTCCTCTTCAGCTGGCCCGCCTTGAAGCGGCTGGGCGCACCCAGGGCCGCCTACTGCCCCTGGCAGCCGCTACGGCGCCCCGCTGACCGGGCGATCGTGCCGCGAGGGCCTGGCGCTCGGAGGGGGCAAGCCGCCAGCCGAACGTTTTCCTGCCGCTTTGCCACATTTTCCATACGTCCAAGGAGCCCTGTGCCAAGCCGATCAAAAGCTGGCTCAGTGGGGAAGTTTTCCCACTGTTGCGCACGTGCCGCCACCGCCGCCACGACCCCCCAAACGGGCCTGTTTTGTGCTCTCGCTGTCTTCTTGCATTGCTCCATCTCATTTTCTTTGCCCTGTAGAGCTGCATTCCAGCGTGCCAGAAGCCACACACAACACACCGGGGCTGCTGTGATCCCCTTGCCCCACCCCGCAGGTTTGAGCTCCGCAAGAATGTGCCGTGCACGTTGACCCTACAAAACCCCACGGGGGACCGCGTGGCCTTCAAGGTCAAGACCACCAGCCCCAAGAAGTACTGCGTGCGGCCCAGCAGCGGCATCGTGGAGCCCGGCAGCAGCAAGGAGGTGCAGGTCATCATGCAGGCGCAGCGCGAGTACCCGCCCAGCCTGGCAGGTGGGCACCGCTGTGTGGCGCCACGGCGGTGTGTGGCTGCCGGCTGCACGCCTGCAGGCCGCTGCCGTGGAGGCATGCATGGCAGGCAGGCGTGCAGCAGGGCAGCGCAGCACGGCGCAGGCTGCAACAGGCCTGGTGGCAGCGCTGCCTATGGTCGCTTCGAGGCAAAGGTGTCTGGTGGCGTGCCACGGCACCGCAGCCCCTCCGTGCTGGCTGCGTGCCAGGTCACAGCTTGGTGCAGCAACCAGCCATGCCGGGCAGACCTGGCTGCATGCCTACGAGCAGAATCAATCCACACCTGCGCTGCTGCACCGTCGTTGCCCTAACGCCCGTTGCTGGCGCTCTTCCTGCTCCCTGCCCTGGCAGACTGCAAGGACAAGTTCCTGGTGCAGTGCGTGAAGCTGGGGCAGACAGATGCAAAGGAGGTGATGCCAGAGATGTTTGACGCGACAAAGCAGAAGGACATCAGGTGTGGGGAAGGGTTGGCAGCTGGCAGGCAGCAGTTGCTAGAGCGCCGGCAAGCGCGTGTAACTCGCTGTAGCACTGTAGCACTGATTCAGCGCTGGGGGGTCATCACATTTGCTGCCCTGCTGGCTGTGGCCGTGCGCGTGCATTCCCTGCCTGTGTGCACACACTCTTGTCCTGCTGCTGCGGCTCATGAGACTCGCTGCCTGTTTTCCGGCCTTGTCGCAGGCAAACCAAGCTGCGGGTGGTGCTGGTGGGCCCGCCCAAGCCGCCCTCGCCAGTGCCTGAGGGCGTGGAAGAGCCGGTGAGCCCCGCCACGCTGGGCGGCTACAAGGATGCCCCCAGCGCGGGCACCGCCGCGGCCGGCGCCAGCCTGCGGGACCAGCTGGGGGCTGCACAGGAGGACAAGGCGGAGATCCGCAAGCGGCTGGAGCTGCTGGAGGATCGGTCAGCGGCGGGCGGCGGCGGGCGTGCCGCGTTGAAGCAGGTGGGCGAGGGCCGAGGGTGCTGAAACGGTGTGCGGGCCCCACCCGGGACTGGCAGTTCAGCGGCGACTGGCAGCGCGGGTGCTTGGACGTGGGGATGGCAGCTGCATACCGCCAGCCAAGCACAGGCCGTGCCGCCTGCTTGTGGCCATGCATGCCAGCAGGTGCGTGGCATGGAGCCAGCAGCAGCAGCTGTAGCAGCACACATGTGTTGATGGGGTAGCTGGTAACCTTGCCCGTCGCCCTCTGGCCCCGCCTGCTGCAGCCCAAGGCGAACGGCGGTTTTAGCGTGCTGCAGCTGCTGCTGGTGGCGGTGCTGGCCTTCCTCATCGGCCACTTTGCCAACGTGGCGGTGCCGCTGCTGACAGAGAAGCTGAAACAGCAGTAGCGTGGCACCAGCAGCACCGGCGGGCGCACTGTCTTGTTCGGGCGCCAACACAGCGAGCTGCAGGAGCAGCGGCAGCCGCATGAACTCCACCAGCAGGGATGCGAGGTGGGGCGCAGCATTTGGGTGCCCCGTGGCCGCGGCGCCCCCTCTTGGCATCAGCAGCCGGCGGTGGCATCGCACGCACCAGGCTGCAGGCCTTGCGAACACCGCCCCTCGACATGTTTATCTCTCATGGTTCAACAGATCCGCAAGGCGCAGCAGCGCCCCTCTTTCGTCGCATTGGCCCGGCCGTCCTCTTCTTTACCGCTTTCACCTCTTACGTGTTCTGAAGGCCTCCCACCCACTGTAACCCTTGACGTGACGCACTCGGTGATTGCCCTGCGCTGTGCTGCTGATGCTGGGCACCGGCCGTCGCCACCTGATGGCGGTTGGAAGGTGGTTGTGTCAGCTGCCTGCCTAGTCAGCATCCTCCAGCCGCGTATAACTCGACACCATTCTTTTCGCTACTAGTACTGAAGACTGCAACCCCAATCCAGCACGGGCATTCAAGAGAGCATCCACCCAAATGAGGAGCCTGCTGCTGCTGCTGGCTCTCTGCCCCCTGCTGTTCCAGCCTTCGGCTGCCTTCATCAAGGTCTACGGCACCAGCTTTGCCGATGAGAATTGCAGGGAGTTCGCTTGGGTGGGCGCCAACACGTGAGTTCCGGAACCGTTGTGGCTCGATCCAAGGAGCACGCTGCGCCACGACAGCGGGGCGGCGGCGCGCGCAGTACTGCCCCAAGGAAGCTTGCCCCCACTTGCTGCAATCATTCCCTCACCTATCCCTGTGCCGCCTGGTGCAGCTGGCGCATGCTCGAGGCGCAGGCGGGCACTACCGGGGTTGAGGTGTGGCCAGGCGGGCCGCCCACCTTGCATGCCTCCCCGCCTCCCCTGCCCGTAGCCTCTGGCCAGCCTGAGCCCGCAGACCGCCAGCCGCAGCCAGTCCAGCGGATGCCTACACTTGTTTGCCCTCAATCTTTGAAACTTGCTGCTCGCCGCCCCCTACCGCAGCTCAACGGCAAGAACCCGGTGACCAACCTGCTGGACAACGCCGCCGCCCTCAACCTCACCATGCTGCGCGTGTTTGCCACCGGCGTCACCCCAGAACTGCCCCTCCAGGTGGAGGAAGGTGAGCTGGGATGCTGCCGGGGCCAGGGATGTGGCAAAGGAGGCGGGGGCAGGCTGAGGCCCCGAATCGCCAGCTCAGTGCTCGAGCTGTGCCTGCCACACACGCTGGCCCTGTTCTCCCCTCGCCCCCGCAGGCACCTACAACCAGGTGGCGCTCAAGGCGCTGGACCAGGTGGTCGCTGATTCGGCCGACCGCGGCCTGCACCTGCTGCTCATCCTCGCCCGCAACTGGGGCGGCCCCGACTCGCGCGCTCAGGTGCGTAGGGCAGCACACCAGGCCGTGCTGGGGGCTGCCTGTGGCGTTGGTGATGTTCCAGCCCCGCTTACCAGAGCACTGCGCCACGTCAGCCACGCGGCGCCAATGCTGCTAGCAGTGCAGGCCTGCACGCAGCCCTCTTGATACTCTGTGCCGCTGGCTTGCCTGACCCACCCTTGGCGCTGCGCTCTGTGCCGCCTGCCCTGCCTGGTCCTGCAGTATGCCAGCTGGAATGGGTTGAAAAGCCCCGACGACTTCTACACCTCCCCAGCTGTGCGGCAGGCCTACAAGGCCCACCTGGACTTCATGATCAACAGGGCCAACACCGTCAACGGCAGGACGTACAGGTGAGCCCGCGCGAGTCTGCCTGATTGAGTCAGCGCTTAGCTCGACCTGGCGGCATGTGAGCTGGATGCGCTGAGCTGTTGGGAAAGGCGTCAGCCATCTGTTTTGAGCTGCTGCCGCCCGCAGGGACGACCCCACCATCTTTGGCTGGAACCTGGTAAGCCACCGCCGCCAGCAAGTGGTTGCGCGCTACGGGTCCCTGCGCGCCAGTCAGCGACAAAACTCGCTATCAGCAGAACCCCTGTGCCGCTGCCCACACATTTCTTCGCCCCTCTGCAAGGCAGATGAACGAGCCGAGGTACTTTTTGAATGAAAGCGATCCCTGCGCCAAGGACCCCAAACCCTGCGCCGACAACCTGCAGGCAAGGGCACACGGGCCAGCACCACGCAGCCCAGCACCGCTGCTGGTGTCTTGCAGGACGCCAGCGGGCCGCGCCCGCGCTGCTGCTGCCATGGCAACGGCCTGACCCCGCCCAGCGACAGGGCCAAACAGACCCGCTTGCCTCCCCACCTGCTTGCTTGCAGATCTGGATTGAGGAGATGGCGGGCTGGCTGAAGAGCCTGGACCCCAACCACCTCGTCACGGTCGGGGAGGAGGGCTTCTGGGGCCCGGGGAGCCCCCAAGCCCAGAACAACCCGCAGCCCTCCAGCAGTGAGCCGGGCTGGGGCCGTGGGTGTGCACTGCTGCTGACGTGCACGTGGCGCGTTCCTGCTGCCCTGCTGGTGAGGGGATCATGGCTGGATGCAATGCACCTCTTGACGTGCCGGGCCTGGGCTGGTGCCGCTGCTGCAGGTTGGGCCCAAGCCACCGGCCAGGACTTTGTCCCCAACCACTCCATCGACTCGATTGACTTTGCTGGCATCCACATCTGGCCAGGTGGGTGATGGTATCAGGGGCGGGCAGGAACGGGCACGCTGGGCGGGCTGGAAGCCAGGCTGGCGAGTCTGGTGGGTGCCTGAACTGGGGCGGGGAGGTGAGCGGGCACTTGTGGCTGATGGCTGCCCCTCCATACGGCGCTGCAGATAACTGGAACATCACTGAGCAGGCCTTCTTGCAGCGCTGGATTGACACCCACATGGCGGCCGCTCGCGACATGAACAAGGTAAACCCCATTGCTGGGAGCACGGTCTTGCTGCGCATTCTGGCCTGGCCATGCAGGAGACCGGGCCCTGGCGCTGCCGCAATGCCTGCCATGCGCTGCAGCCGCTGATCATCGAGGAGTTTGGGAAGAACGTGACTGATCAGGAACTGGCCACCATCCAGAAGGAGCGCAACCCCACCTTTCAGACGGTGATGGGGGCCCTGAACAGGAGCCTGGGGGCGGACGACGTGCTCAAGGCGGCCATGGTGCGTGGCCCAGATGTGGGCGGGCAGCATTGCACGGTGGTCAGGCCGTCGTTAAGGCCGTCCAAGCTTGCACGTGTGTGGCGGGCTGATCATCCAGGCACCCTCCCTCACCCTTTCTGACCCATGTTGGTTGGCTGGGGGCTGCAGTTCTGGATGTACGACCCCGTGCTGGTGGACAAGAGCTCGCCCGGGTGGGGCAACTACAGCCAGGACCAGGTGGGTGTGCGTGTGCATGCCGGCGCTGATCAGTAGCTGCAGGTCAGTGTCGGCTGTTGCCTTGGACCAGCAAAGCTGGTCCAAATGGAGGCAAAGAGATGCTGACCTGAGTCCTGCCCCTCCCAACCCCCGCCAGGTGTTCACGACAAGCTCCACCATGCGCGACATCATTGCTCCTACTGCACGCCTGGCAGCCCAGTACAAAGCAAAGGTGGGGTTGGTTGGATGCCGGCAGCGCCCAGTTACCAGCCGCCTGTGGCAGTTGTGCCATGCCAATTCTTTGCTGTCTGGTCTGCTCCGCAGGTTCCCGGATGCACCCCGCAGACCACGCAGGCCCCTGCCGGCAGGAAGTTGCTGCACGTGCCGATGGTGTGATGCGCAAGCAGTGCGGCCCTTGCAAGTTGATGGTGCAACAACGGCACAGCGTGACAGATGAGCAGGGCATCATACAGACAAGCAGCTTCGAGGATCAGATGACAGCGTAGCCTTGCAGATGCATAACAGGGTCAACAAGATTGCAGCCCAGATGAGGTGTGGTGGATGCTGACAGCGGTGGCGGCCAGCGGCGCTTTGTAGCCAATTACCTGGGCAGCATGCCGGCACGGGCAACCGCGAGGCAGGCAGGCTGGCGGGCGGGCTGCTGGGAGGGCTGGCGCTGCGCGCGCCACACCCCATCACCCAAGACCACCGGCTTCATGCCACCGACATTGCCATGGGTGCGCCGTGTTTGTGGCGTCTCACCCGCCAGAAGCACTACTGCGCGTTCCACCCCTCCCACCTGTTCCGGGATCCCAAGCGCAGACAAATGGCAATCTCGGTGACTGCTACTCCAAGGCTGAGGTGGAGCAGCCATCCATGCAACGAGTGCTGCAGAGCGCTGAGCGGCTTTTGGGCGTGCAGCCGCCACCACGCAGCCTGTTGCTTGGGGAAGACGGCGGCGTGCGGCGCGTCATAGCGTGCGTTTCACGAGTATGGCGTGTTGGCCAGCGCACCCCTACCTAACAATGTACTTCCCCGAGACTCGCATGTTAGCTTTACCAGACTTTAAGCCCACACAAGCCAAGCCAAGCCTAGCGCATGGAGCGGCTGCCTGTCTCCGCCCCCACTGATAGCACGGAGGTGGCGGGCGTTGGCGCCAGCGCAGCAGCAACAATCCGTGGCCGAGCAGAAAAGGTGCCACTTTTCTGGTCGGTTCCAAGCAGCCGCTTCCCTCATTTGCATTTGTCTCGAACTCTCCTTAGCGTTGTCTGTTGCTGTGAAGAGCGGGGGCAAGGAGGAGGTAGGGCGGTGAAGAGTGTGCACTGCCGGCAGGGCGGCGCAGCACAACGCACACAACAACGCAGAACTTTTGCCCGTCGCATCAAACAACGGTGCATCAGGCTGTGGGGGCACTTTGCACCCAATCTGAACTCAGCCTGTTCACCCGCCTGGCGAGGAAGTCCGACAGTCACCCACCACCCGCAGGTGTTGTTCCAGGCAGCAACTTGCCGACCCGCCGGAGGGGCCCGCCGCCCTCTCCTTGCGGCCGGGCTGCCGCAGCTGCAGGGGGTCCCGCTTCGGCGACTCAAGCTCTCTGCTGCGCTGCCGTTTGTTTTTGAGGGTGCCGAGCCCAAGCGCGACAACCGTGCAGTGCTGAATCGGACAACCCAACGCATGATTCAGGTGGCGGCGGGGGAGATGACGAGGGCCTGACAAGCCAGGAGGCGTCATCACACCGCGCCTCGTTGCATCAGCGCTGATTACCAACACCAGCAGCCATGGCCGACAAGCCCAGCTGGCAGCAGCCCAAACGCAGGTGCTGGCGGTTTGCAGGCATATACAGGCCGACACTGCTGTCCACCTACAAGCGTCTGCAGCAGGCTGCCAACCACCGCCCCCACCACTGATGGCGGAGCGCGGGCGCTGGCGCCTGCGCAACAGCCAGTGGCGCCGTGGCCTTAGAAAAGGTGGGACACCTATTCTAAGCGTCGTTGCCCTCATCTGCATCGCCCTCAGTCTCCAACTCTCCTTGGCGCTGCCTCTGGGCCGCGGCTAAGAAAGGCCTTCTTTGAAGGCGCTGGAGCTAGTGTCTAAACCCTCCGAGAGGGCACAGGTTCGATTCCTCCCATGTCGAAACTTTGTGAGGACAAACGCGGCATAGCTGACCGGCTCAGCGCCAATCCAAGCCAATTCCTTCGGGAACGCCTAATAGAATCGCCAAGGCTTCGGCACAGGCCTCCCCGGGACCCATTCACTACTAGTGGGGGGTACTGCACTTGGCGCGTCGGGCAGATCAAATAATGGTCTAAAGCTAGACGTTAAAACCGGGAAGTTAAGCCTGTGGAGGCTCTTCCCCACCTTTACCTTTACCTTTACCTCTCTGCTGTGCAGAGCGGGGGCAGGTGATGCAGGGCGGCGCAGCACAGCGCACATAGCAGTTCAGAACTTTTGCCGTCTGTCGCATCAAACAGCGGTGCATCAGTCTGCGGGCTGAACTGGTTAACTGCAAAACATTACTCCCGTTCTGAACTCAGCCTGTGCCCCCGCCTCGCCAGGAATTCCGACAGTCAACGTTCGACCTCAGGTGTTCCCCGGACATGGGAATTCCAGGGTTAGCTTCATAGCTGCCGTACTGCACGCGAATGGAACGCCTCTGGACTTTTTAGGCGGCAAGGAGGCGGCCACGAAGGAGCTGGAAATCTACGAGCATGTCTCTGTGGACCTCCCAACAATTTCTGTGGGCGCTGTGCTGGCCACGTGCCCCCACGCGGCCCTGATTGAATCAGACAGCAGCGGGACCACTCTGGCGAGGGTGACGCAAGCCGTGGAGCGGCGCTGTGGGCCCCTGCTTCAAGTGCTGCCTGCCACGGCCACCACAACGGTGAGGAACGAGGTGCAGGATGCGAAGCTGCTGCAAGCGCAACTTGCCGATCCGCAGGAGGGGCCGCCGGCCGCCGCAGCTGCAGGGGGTCCTGCTGCGGCGCCTCAAAGCTCTTCTCTGCTGCGCTGCAGTTTGTTTTTGAGGGTGCCGAGTATGGGCCCAAGCGTGACAACCGTGCAGCGCTGAACCGGACCACCCAGCGCACTGCGCTCATGATTCAAGCGGCGGCAAGGGGAGATGAGGACCGCCTGAAAAGCCTGGAGGCGGCATCACACCGCGCCTTGCTGCCGCTCATGGCACTGCTGCAGCAGCGACTGCAGCAGCAAGGGCACCAGACCGTGCAAGCCATGCGGGAGGCGGACGGCCAGGCAGCGGCAGTCTTCATGCGAGCGGCAATAGGGGGCAATCGGGCCAACGAGGGCAGCCCAGCAGCGGCTGCAACACCGGCGGCTTTGGGGGCACAGGGTGGCAGCACTGGCTCGCCCCTGCCACCGCCGCCGCAGCAAGTGCAGCTGGTGAGCGGGCGGCGGCTGGTGATCAGCGGCGACAGCGACGTGCGGACGCTGTGCTGGCAGGCAGGCACCGACTTTTTGATGCTGCATGTCGGCTGCCGTGGCGGCACGCTGATTACTCAGCAGCACCTGGAGAACTTGGGCATCAGCCCTGTGCAGCTGCTGCTGCTGGCGCCCGCGGCCGGCTGCGACTATGATCCAGCTGGCGTGTTGGGTTGCGGCATCGTGTCGGCCATGGCAATGGCACGCATGACGCCGCCACTCGTGACAGCGGCTGGCCCCAGCGCTGTGGCGGACCATTGGATAGATCAGGAGTGGGTTGAGGTGGAGGGCGGGGGCAAGGTGCAGCTGTTCGACAAGATTGCAGCAGCTCTGGCAGCAGCCCAAATGCAGCCGGTGTTAGTGCTGGTGGATGCTGGCGGCGACGGCGGTCAGCGGCGCTTTGCAACCACTTACCTGGGCCGGCATGCTGGCGCGGGCGAGGCAGGCAGCGAGCAGCTGGCGGGGCTGCTGAGAGGGCTGGCGCCGCCGCACCCCATCACCCAAGACCACCGGCTTCATGCCAACGACATTGCCATGGGTGCGCCGTGTGTGTGTGGCGCTTGACCCCCCCCCCCCCCCCCAAA